CTCGGTAGCACACCCCCAAGCAAACGGTCAAGCGGAAGTCACGAACAGAGCTATCATCTGCGGGCTAAAGGCACGCCTAGATCGAGCTAAAGAACTATGGGTAGATGAGCTGCCCAGCGTATTGTGGGCTTATCAGACCACAGTAAAGACCGCAATAGGCGAGACTCCCTTCAATCTCACTTACGGCACTGAAGCAGTCATCCTAGCCGAGATCGAAGTCCCCACGCTACGACTAGTGGCATGTGATGACAAGGCAAATGAAGATGAGCTACGCACCAACCTCGACCTACTTGACGAGGTACAAGACCTCGCATATATCAGGACTGCGGCCTACCAACAGAGAGTAGCTCGGTACTATAACGCCAAGGTCAAAAAGCGGAACTTCTGCGTCAGAGACTTGGTTCTTCGTAAAGTTATGGTGCCTGAGCCCGGCGTTGGTAAACTCGGGCCAAATTGGGAAGGACCCTACCGAGTAAAGCGGGTGCTCGGGGAAGGTACATACGAGCTCAAAACTCTAGAAGGGAAACAAGTACCTCGGGCATGGAACATTGTCAACTTAAGGCGATATTACCCATGATCACCAAGATTAGTGAACTACAAGTCACTCTCAGCCTAAGGGCCAGAATGTCGAGCTAACAAAAAGACCTCGGCACTATAAGACCCAGTCGCCTCTTCGGCATGGGCAAACTCCAAGAGGGGGTGGACCGTAGTCGCTCCTAGAGCCTAAGGGCCAATACGCCGAGATAATGACGACCTCGACACTATAAGACCCAATCGCCTCTTTGGCATGGGCAGACTCTAGGAGGGGTGTGACTAAGTCACTACCTCAGCCAAAGGGCTAAAACGCCGAACTAGCTAAGGACATCATTGGCGTAGGCTTAGTATGCCAAGGATGCAAGCAGCTTAGGTGTGAACCCTACGGTACATAGCCCACCTCCGCATACAACAGGTTGGACCCGCTAGGGACAACCATTAATTCAAGTAACCTAGGAGTAGACAGGTCGGGTATATGCCTTACTATGTCGCTCACTTCGGTGTATGTTATAGAAACCACCCCTACAAAGTACTGGGAGACAGTTCGGGGAGGCGACAGACGAAAAATCCTACTTTGAACACTTAATAGTTCGGATAAAGCAGTCACTCTGGCTAAAGTATAAAGTGCACAGTACTTGGCAAAAAAAAGAAATTCATTGATTAAGAATTTCGTACTACGAGCTCGATAAAAAAAAAGAAGAAAGGAAACTAAAACTGAGCTCACAGGCTCGAGATACAAGGGCTACACTATTTGGGGGACTCATCTTTACTTGGGACCTCCTTAGGAGCTTCTGCCAGGTCGGTGGCATCTACCTCTTCGTTGCCGCTCTCCTCTTCAGAATCCGGGTCCTCTGTGGCCTGGCGGGCAATCTCATCCGTGATCTGCGAAGTGGTGATGGCACTCGTGTCGAGTTCAAGGTATGTGTGCCTTATCAACCACCTACTAAGCTTGAAGCCCTTATGATAGGCCTCCATCAGCACAACATCAAACTTGTCCAATTTGACATAGTCTAGGACGACCTTAACCTTGGTCTCCTCTATGGCCTGGTTGAAGATCTCAGTTTTCTCCTCAATATCGGCCTTGAGGAACTCCACCTTGTGCTTCAGGACCCCGTTATCCTCCTTAAGGCCTCTCACCTCGAGCTCCAAAGCCCCCTTGCCTACCTGGAGGGCATTCACCTCGTTCCTCAGCTCATCCCTCTCGCGTGCCATCTCCTCTTTCTCCGCCATCAGCACGTCAATGACATTCTTCTGAGCTGAAGCATCGCTCTCCAGCCGGTAGATTTGGTCGCGAGCTGCCCTCAGATCGGCGTGGGCTGCGCAAGCCGAGTCCTCGGTAGCTAGAGCCCGCTTCAGATACCTCTCGGACTGAAGAGTTAAGGTGTGCACGGTGGAGTTCACCTGACCAGAGAAGATTGGTTAGCACCGAAGAGATGTACAAAAAAGGGGATAAAAGAGAAGAGAGAAAAGGGTCTTTATAACTTACCACCATTGTGTGGGTGGCAGCCCGAGCTCCGAGCTGAGCAGGAGTAAGGTCAGCCCAAAAGGAGACCTCTTCGGTGTAGACAACCCCCGTGCTCTTTCGAAGGCTGCACTGAGGAATTAGGATGCTTCAGTCCCTCTCCTGACTCCCCAAGCTGGAAATTGCCGTATCGGCTGTGCGGATGGGCTCAGCGGAAACTTCAGTCGTTGCATCAACGGCCTCGGTGGCAACCTCGGGCTCTGCAGCTGCCTGCGGGGCAGGCTCTGCCGATGTCTCGGGCTCCCGAGGTGGTAGGATCTCCTCCAAGTCGATGATTGGAGGTACGTCAAGGAGCTCAGGTTCAGAGGTAAGAGCCTGCGGAAGCTCAGGTTCGGAAGTGGGGGCTTGTGGAGGCTCGACGCGAGCTCTCCTGGCAGCTCGCTTCTTCTTCCCCTTCATCTGGTAGAAAAGCCTCTCCCCCTAAGCTTCTCTTCTTCCATAGGCCCTGCAACATAGCTCGACATCAATAAACTCAAAAGTACCAACTATTTAAGCAAGGCACTAAGTAAGACAACCTACCCGAGCTCAAGCCGGCCTGTATGAGCTTGCTCTTGGCGATATAATCCTTGTAATTAAACCCGAGCTCAGCCCATGATTAAAGTGTCTCCCTTGTCTTCTTGTTCAGGTTAACGTCGAGGCCTTGAATAGCCGCCCTCCAATGAGTGGGGAAAGACCACCCCGCGGTGTTCCGAACTACAAAGTAGTCCTGCTTCCCGGCTGGGACTTTGCTAGGAAGCTTGTGCAACAACTTAAAACCCGAGCGAGGGGACAGGTAGTAGGCCCACCTGTGCTCGGGGAGAACGCTTGAAGCGCTCTTCTTTATTGAGAGGATTGAGCAGAAAATATCAAGGTTCAAAGGAAGGACATACTTGAAGCACAGGGATATGGTCTCGACCACGTTACGAAGGAGTTCGGGTGAAGTTGGTCTATTGTGACACTGAAGTGGTTCAGGACCTCTACGATAAGACGATGGAAAGGAAGATGGAGCCTGGCTATAAGCTGCTCCCAGAAGATCACGATCTCGTCAGGACCATGCTTCCATGGGAAGTTACCTGCAGGAAGACTGTAGGTATACTCCCTAGGTAGATTGTATTGCCGAATGAGGTATTGGAGCCTCTCCAGGGTCATAATGGAGGGACCGAACCTATCCGGCATCCGACCTCGGTGAGAGGTGGACGCCAGATTACCCGAGGCCTTCCGCGCCTCGTGAGACTGGACTTCGGTGGGGTCACCCTGAGCCGAGGTACCTACCTCGGGCTCACCCAATTGACTATCGAAACTAAACATAGTGAAGGAAAGAAACGAACTGGAAGGAAAGGAAATTGAAAGAAAAGCGAAGGAGACTCACCAAGGAAAGCAACCGAACTAGGAGTAATTGACCCGAGCTGAAGACCTTAGACGCGAGCTCAAGACAAATGCTGAGGACTTATGGCGAGGGAAAATGACCAGGACCCCCGCTATTTATAGCCACTGTACTCGGGCATCAACGGTCAAGATCAAGACGATCTGACGACTCTCAAGAAAACCGGCTATGTGACCCTCGAGACGAAATCGGTTTAGCGCGTTTTTTGACGTCCGTGGAGTTCATAGATCACGTGACGTCCGCGCATAGACTGTACATGACCCGGATTGCCCTTGATCGAGCCGAGTAGTGAACTGGTCTGACCCATAAGTCGCCTGACCTGGAGGCCAGAGCTCCGAGCCAAATCCACCCGGCATATTGCAGATTCCCCGCACTGGGTCAGAACCCCCAGCATAGGGAGTGGGGGGCAATTGATGGAGGGTGATTTGGCCTGACCTCGTAGCATGGGGACACGTGGGTACAACCTGGCATAAGTGACAGGTCAGCGTGGCAGCCTGGCCATAACTTGGCGTACTGAACTCGCCAGAGCCCAGCAATGCAACTCGGCGGACGTTGCAGCTCGCCGAGAAGAAACATCTAGCATACTCCGAATTTTCCCTAAGGGAGGAGGACTTTCGAGCTCCTCCCGAGACCCGAGCTCCCCCAGGTGGGCCCCGAACTCTTCCTTCCTGAGAAGGGAACACCCTGGTCTACGGGAAGTATCCCGAAGTGGGGACACTTCGGGATAGTCCCATTAACGCTCCTGCCCATATTTTCCTAAGGCTCGACTCGAGCACTCGCACCTCGGCTACCTCGGCACCTCGGTGAAGGGTAGCTCGGTGCAAAGTAGCTCGACAACCTACAAAAAAGATCTGTCTGACAATAGTACCTGCCGAATCCGGAGGCTGTGCTCACGTCTCTTGTCAGGCGGCGTCGTGCCTGCAACTTCTGCCAGATATGGCACGCCTGACAGGTCCGTACCCTGCAATGGCTGCTCACATCTGCCACCTTGACTCTAGCAATAACGGCTGTGGCAGGTCCTCACACCTGGCGCATCATAGGTGCTTCACATGCATTAGAAACATCTCTCGTACTTATTAATTATCATTCACGGGAGATGTTCTCAATGCACGGTGGATGTACCTGTGAGACACCCATTTGTGAGGAGCAGATCCCGCTTCCCTAGACGTGGTCTATTAGTTGGCCTTTTTTGAAGAGAAACAAATAAATAAATAAAAGAGGAATGCAAATAAACAATGATTTGATGCAATTTTTCTTCGCATCAAAAAAAGAAAAAAAAAGGTGGAACCCATAAAAGGGATTGCTTAACATTATTTTGCCTGTTTTCCTAGGACCCATTTCCACATGTCTGTAGGGCGAAGAATGAATGAGTTGCATAAGCCAAATACAGTTGTTGCCTGTATGTATCTCTCTATATATATATATGACCTCACATGACTAAGGTTGTTTTTGGTACCATTGTCACTTCCACTTGTATAGTTTTAAATTGGTCAATATAAATTTTAGAAGAATATATATATATATATATATATATATATATTTTTCTACCAAGTGGTTACCTAATGTGATGTGACAAGACAATTTCTTAAAATTTTGTATTGATAAACTCCAAACATTTCTTGTAGAAACAGCAATGACACCAAACATAACCTACAAATCAAAACAAAGTCAAGCAGTTCTCATTTGTGAAGCTTTTGTCCTCAGGGAAGCTTCCAACATTTAAAGTCAGCAAAAGGAATGGGAAAAAGATCCAATATAATTTCAATATTCAAGCTCAACACATTTCCACCCTTAATCATTATCAATGGATATAACATATTGTTTTCTTTTAACCAAGCTTGGAAGAACCAACAACAAGAGGAGCATCAGCCTGTGCAGCCATGGCTAGCTCAAACTGCCTAAGAGAAATTGCAGGGAGAGAAAGCAATTCAGGAGCTTTGAGGTTATCCCAACCCTTGATGGGGTTGGTAGTTGTAGACCCATCCCATCCTATGTGTGTCACATGCTTCACATCTGTTGGAAAGCCAATCTCCATCTCCATCTCTTCAACTTCTTCGTCTCTGTACACTAAAAGCAAGAAATTGAAAAGAAAAAGGGCAAGAAGAAGCTAAATGAATAAAATGTTGAATTGCTAAATAAATTAATTAAGAAGACCAATTGTAGCCACAGGTTATGTTTGAGTTTTTAGAACAAAGCCAGTGGATAATAAATTTGTAACTGTGTAGATACCCACTTACCAAATAGTTGGGAGAAGCTCTTAATGCTCTTGATCAACCTTTGTAACCCGGAGGAGATGTTGGGTTTTGGAAGTGTCAGGAAACCAAAAGAGTTCTTCATTTTTACACCGGATAAGTTTTCCCCGTCTTCTTCTTCTCCTTCACAAAGACACAGAAAGAAAACCCAATAAGTCTTTAACGAAAAAACTGAGAGAGAGAGAGAGAGAGAGGTAAATCAGGTAATGTATACTTGTTACAGGTGGGCTTGTCTCAACTTTTGTTTTCTTGATGGAGTTCCCACCTACAGCGATGCTTGATTCCGAAACACAACCAATAGAGAAGGGAAGAACAACGAGTCTCTCCATGCGATCTCTCATCCCTTCATGAACAGACGAGAAGAAACAAGCAGAGGAAATTAGGAGAAACAGGAAAAGAATGAAGGCAGGCGGTGGTTAAGGTTGTGGAGCCGTGGAAGTGAATATGGTTTGTTATATTGGCTGCTATTGGCTTTGTTAGCAAGCTAGAATGATTTTACGTATGAAAAGGTTAGAGCCACCCAAGTTTGGTGAGAGAGAGAGAGAGAAGAGAGTATTATGGAGTGGGTTGGAGATGTTAGTTGGTTAAACTGCACTATTGAAACTACTTTTTCTGATTATACGTCCTTTGTTGGTTAGTATAAGAGCCCACAAACTGCTTTGTCTCATTAAACGTTTCCTCTTAATCCTAGACTGTGGGCTCCTCTCTTACTTACCTCTCTTGTAGACCAAGCCACTATTCTACTTCTCTCTCTCTCTCTCTCTCTATTTCTTTTCTTATTCAAGACTCCTTCCAAAAGAGGAACTTAAGAGGGACCTTAGAGTGATTTCCAAGGGACATCCCCCTATTAAGGCTTGAATTTTCACCAATGATCGAGTATTTCTTAGTTCTCAAGTGTGGTGACATGGTAATAAGAGCATGGCTGAAGATTGATTCACAGAATGTTCTTGGCCTCATTCATACTATGTTACAGGTTAATTTACTAAAGTTCGGGGACTAAATTGTCACTCGAGCTAAAGTACAAGATACTGATCAAGAATTTTTCCTATAAATAATTTACTATTTTACTATAAATTTTATTAATGTTATGTTATCAGAAATATTATCATTGGAAATTATGGATGGCAAGTATAATCAAATCTAATATGCCCAGATTCCATTGATCCAATTAATAATTGATTCGGTTCTGGGTATTTAATGTAGTCCCGACTGATAAGAGACTGATACACCCTGTCCGAAACCAGATCCGACCCATTGACATAACCAATACAAAGAAGCAATTATTTCTTCTCCAGACCCATTTGGGTATGGACGTATGGTGTTATCTGTCAAACGGTTAGACCGGGCAGCGAATAGATTCTATCTATCCTAAATTCTGATGTGTCCCTAGCCCGTAATAAGGAGGTTTTGGGGGCAACCATTATTGGGTTCTCTGCAGCTTTTAGCCCTCAGTCAGTTGTTATATCATGAGCTTCAAGGGATCCGTAGTCAGATGGAAAGGAAGTTCAAAGATTGATGGCTTTGGTGGGCTCTAGCTTAGTGATTTCATTTTATTCCGACCACAGAAAATCGTATCTGGGCCCTTTGGAACCACAGTTTTCCACTGATGGATACCGCAGTTCAAAACTGTGGAGTGTCTTGCTTTGGGGTCATCTTTGAAAGTTAAGAGCTGAACAGCTTCGAAATACCAATCATATATAGGAAGAGTATAAATATGACAAATATCCATTTAGAGTCCATTCGTTTTTTGGATTTTGAGAGGGGGTAAAGTTGGTCGATGGGATCCATATTTTTTTTTTTCAAATTTATGTGGGGTTCATGAAAAATTTATTTTTCCTGTCCATCTGGCCCATCTCCCAAGTGGGTAACTTTCTCACCTGTGGGAAAGTTGCCAACACTTGGACGGGACAAAATTGCCCCTTTCAACAATGGACTTTTATGGCAAAAATGACCATTGTCTTATTTCCCTGGGAAAAGAGCAAGTGTTTCATGGAAAAACATTAGATTCTAATTTATTACCATCCCCAAAAACATGAAAATAAAAAAAAAAATATTCCTCTTTACCCACTAGAAGAAGATTGAGTAGAAGATTAATATGTACAGTAATACAAGGGTTATGCTTGGCTCATCTTAACAAGCATTTTTTAATCAACAATTTATCAATCTGGACATTTATCCATACTGTATCCATAATGGCAAAGAGTAATGGACGGGATCATACCTGCCAAAATACCTAGCTATTTTTATTTTTTCACCAATAATCTCCACAAGAACACTGGCCATGCTTAAAATGATGATACCGATGAGCATCTCTTACAACTAGCTCCTTATCCATAGCCAGAGAAGTATACTTGATGAAGGTGTGACAGTCTGTACAAACTCTAAGGTTCTTCATGACTCGAATAGTTGCTCTGCAAGATGTGTTCATGATACCATAAGCAATTGCAAGTTTCTCGCTGTGAAAAGCAAGAAGAACTTCCTTTTGCTCTTCTTCTACATCATGCATTACTGGTTTTGTATCTGTTGAATATCCTATTTCCTTTAATCTCCCAATTAACTTATCCAAGTAACAATATATCTCTGCTGCTTGTGGATGAGACCTGTCACCCGCAGTAAATGTGTGGATTTGATTTTTTATTTGGATCCATGATTGGCCTAGCTTCTTTTTCACCCTTCTCTCTTCCATTAAACTTCTTATCTCAGCTGCCTCTTCCCATCTATGAGTGGCTGAACAAATGTTGGACGATAGAACATAAAGTCCTGCATCAAATGGTTCGAGTTTAGATAGCTGTTCAGAAGCCCAGTTCCCTATCTGCACATTTTTGTGAATTCTACATGCAGACAATAGTGCTCTCCATACAGCAGTCATATGAGATATATTATTACTGTAAATAAACTCCATTGCCTCATCCAAGAGACCTGCTCGACCAAGAAGATCAACCATACAAGTGAAATGCTCGACCCTAGGAACAATGCCATAATCTTCCTTCATTGACCTGAAATATGCATTCGCTTCTTCAACTAGCCCTGCATGGCTACACCCAGATAAGACACCTACAAAACTTACTTCATTTGGACTAATTCCTTCCTTCAACATCTGTTCAAAAAGATGGACAGCCTCTCTTCCTTGACCATGCAAAGAACAAGCAGATATCATCGAAGTCCATAAAACAACATTATGACCATTGGTTTGAAAGAAAATTGAATGAGCATCGTCTAAGTTCCCACATTTGGCATACATGTCAATGATAGCAGATCCCAAGAAAACATCTAGCTTGTGCCCTGTTTTTTCAATGTAGGCATGAATTTGCTGCCCCTGGTATAAAATTCCAGCATTAGCACAGGCTGAAGCTATGCTTGTGAGAGTGAATTGGTCCACATCAAGACCTTCATGAATCATCATCTGGAAGAGTTTGATAGCTTCTTCATAGCTTCCATTCTGAATACACCCAGAAATCATCGAACTCCATGAGATAACATTTGCCATAATTCTATCAGAAGATATTTTGGAATTTTGCATATTGGCCAAGTCATGAGGCATTTTTTCAAAAACAAGTGCGGCCTTGTCCAGTTTTCCACATTTGCAGTACATGTCAATAAGCGAACTCATTATAAATTCATCGTAATCAAGCACCACTCTCAGAAGCTTGCCATGAATTTGTCTTCCTACTTCCAACATTGCTAGAGATGCTGCTAATGCTAAAGCTGTAGAATAAGTGACTTTATTGAAGTCAGGCCCAATTTCTACCATCTGACAGAGAAGCTCCAACGCCTTTCTGCCATACCCATTTCGCATTTGTCCAACTATGATCGTATTCCAGCTCGAAACATATTTCAAAGGCAATCGTCTAAATAGTTCCATCGCCTTCTCCGTATTTCCAATTTGTAGATATCCATCAATCATAATATTCCATGAGACCGTATCTCTAGTGGTCACTGATTCAAATATTCTTCCAGCATAATCCACTTTTGCACATTTGACATAAATGTCAATCATAGAGTTATCTAAAACAACATCTAATACAACCCCATGTCTCAGTATCCATCCATGAACTCCCTTACCACATCGGAGATTATTTAAACTTGAGCAACACTTCAAAACACTAGATAAACTGAAATGGTTCGGGCGAATTCCTTCAGTTTGCATCTCAGTAAACAGAACCAATCCCGCTCCAGCAGGACCCAACCGCGCAAAACCCGCAATTAAAATCGTCCACGTTCGTACATCTCGGTTCGGAATTTCATCAAACAGTTTTCTTGCAGAACCCAGATTCAACCCTTTCACATAGAGATTCAAAATATGGTTACAAACCTGTAGACATCCTAAGGAACCCGCCTTGATAGCTTGAGAATGAAGCAGCTGAACCCTCGAATTGTCCGCCAGATTAGCATGGGAGCTGATCTTCCCCGGCGGTTCACTAGGAGGAGACAGACTATAACCGGAGTAGGATTGAAACAGGTGAGTCTTCAGCTCGGAGCTCTCTATGATGTCTCTGATAGTAGAGGCTGAAATAACTATTACTGGCAGGGGAATCAAAAAGCGACGAAGATTCAAAAGACCAGTAGGATTGCTGGATCTATTTAGCACTACCATTCGTCTTTGTTCCAACCCACATGGCTAACCATTTCCCTTGGTAACGTGCCATGTACTAAGAACCCAAATTTATAATACATACATAAATACATGTAGTGCATTTTCACGTGATAGAATCCATAAGATAAAATTTATTTATAATTCATTGACAGTTTTTAAATACAATTTTTCAATAATTATAAGTGGACAATTTTTAGAGTGAGAGTAAAGCACACCGTTATATATTATTTATTTAAAAATGTTTAATGAAAAATCCACTATTCATTCTTTTATTAATATATATATACACACTATGTGCAATGCATTCATACCTCCACATCAAATGAGCTTACTGCCTTTCTTACACAAGAGTCTCTCTCTCTCATCCAAGATTTGTAACCTGTCTCAGCCTCCCCTACTTCCCTCTTCGCTGTAATCTCCCTCCCATTAAAATTATACAACTGATGAACCACGATTGCCTGCTGTAGCCGGTAGATAGGCCCTCTCGGGATTCTGTCACTCGTTTCCTGCTGTAGCCGGTAGATAATTGGAATGAATCTCACTGGAGACAGCCGACGACAAGACACTAAGATAGTTGGAACTAAAATAGTGCAAACACTAGCCTTTTGATTTTGCAACCTATAAAAGAGATGACCTTGAACCTCAGGAGGTGAGAGGATTTTGGGGCCTTTTGATTTTGCAACCTATAAAGGAGATGACCTTGAACCTCTGCCATACCAGGAGGTGAGGGGATTTTGGGGTCTCTGAATCTTGAAATAAAGAGAAATGAAAGGGATGTGGCGCTGTTCGGAAATAAATCACATTTAAAAAAAATTTAAAGAAAAGAACTAAAACCGAAAAAATTAAGAAAAAATCAATATAACCTTCTCTTCTAGCAATACTCTTCTCCTTTTATAGGATTCTTTTATATCCTTGTGCCTCTTACAAAAAAGCTTCCTAATCTAATTGAACACCCCTTATTAGGATCCTATTAAATTTCTTCAAAAATAAGTCCTAATCGAAGATAAACTTAGAAATCTCACTAATATCTAACCTGGTAAATGTGATCAAGATAGATAGATTCAAAATCCTATAATAATGTTATCTTGATGATTATTGATAAAGGATGATTTGACCCGACCTATGAAACGGCGACACGTGGATGCTGACCCAACGTAAGCGACAACTCAGCATTGTGGTCCAGTACAGCTAAGTGATGGGCCCATAAAGCAGCTCGTTACATAGTAGCGGGCTAAAGGAGGGGTTCGTCACAACGCAAGCTCCGGGTTCCCCGAGCTACCTCTAAAGGGATATTCCGAGGCAAACTTTAACTTGCGAGCTAAGAAAACCAGTTCGCCCGAGCTCCCGAACAAGACAAGTMATCCCGATGACCAATTCTACTAGGGGTACTTCTGAAGTATTCGAAGCTCGTTGCAAAGTGGTTCGCGAATGGACCGCACAAGCATTCCTTAGGAAACTTCTATTTAACAAGCCGTACCAGTCAGACTGGACCACGTCCTTAACTGACGGTGCAGTCCATGTCCTTTCGACAGTCTGCGCCCACGTCTCTTAGTAGGCGGAGGCGTGCCTGTCACTTTAAGGACGTGTCACTCGCCCGAGTAAGGAGTACGTCCCAACGGCTACCTGCGCAGCCCTGGCAGGTAACGGCTGTGGCAGGGACCCAGTGGCGGTTATGCCCAATCTCGCAAGAGCGCTCCTATAAAAGCCCTCAGGACAGAGGAGAAAGGTCTTCTTGAGACTTCTAATCTCTCAAGTATAGTGATAAAGCGCAACCTCCACTCTTAGCCTTCGTTTCTCTCTTTACCTCCCATACACAATACTAACTTAAGCATCGGAGTATTCCCACCGGGCAAATCCCCGGGAATCCTTCCTTTCATCTTCTCAGGTGCCGCTCGTTGCCAACAAGAAACCAGTTAGCAGCCAGCTAGGAGTGCCAGGATCGTGCCGCATCAACTATGAACTAAGATGGGTCAACGAAAGCGAATTTAGTAAATGTTTACTCAATTGGGCTGAATCTCGTATTGCACAAAATGCCAAAAAAACATTCTATTTGATCAAAACTTGCTCAATACAATCCTTTGGACAGCTTTTATAGGCACTGCAACTAAGACAAAATTCAACTTTGACACGAAAGGCCATAATACAAAACAGGCTAAACAATAAGGGAAAAACTGTGTAGAAGACAAAAGCTAGAAATGGTAATTCGAGGATCGGTGAACTCTGCTTGATGCTCGACTGAGTTCGCACTGATGGTAATGGGCCGAGGCAACGAGCATTGCAGGGTGAAGAACTCATGAGGCGGATGAAAAGCCTTGTGACTTGGTCCCGTGGGAGCCTCCCGAACTCAGGGCTCGAATTTTGGAATCTCAACCTCACACAGCTTTGAGAGGTAGTGGCCTCACGAACTTTATGACCTTGTGGGGTCATTATGCTTCGAGCAAAGCAAGGTTTTGATTTTGTCGATTCTCACAACCTTGCTGCTTCATAGGAAGTGTGTGTTCCGGCCTCGCTTGTATCATTGGCCTTCTCAATGATACGACAAGGTCCAAGTTTCCTATTCTACAATTTGTGAGGTCCATTTGTTGGAAATCTTTGAGGGGTCAAAACCATCTACACTAATTTACATTCTTCAAAAGTGAGATTCCTTTTGTTATTATTTAGGGTTAAGTATTCTGCAATTAATGCAGAATTTTGAATGACAGTATGCTATAGTCTATTAGTAGCTCTCCTGTAAATCACATCCTGCCGTGAATTTGACATCAATTCATCATTTTGTACAATGGGGCTACAAATTTCTGACCTGAACTGATCAGTCATTCTCCCTATTATTTACGTAGACATTAGACTGCTCTAGCTCTCTAGCATAAATCACTTGGTGTGGGAGAGCATATCGTCCACCTTGACACTAGGCATTGCTGGGACTAGGAGTTCAGTTAGATCCAAGGTCCTATGGGATTGAACCCATTGACTATAGTTTATATATACATTATCGAAAACAAACATACAGCAGCGAGGTAATTGTAAAATATCGAAAATTACCTAATTGTACATTTTTCTTTTAAAACTACGGGGGAGGATTTTATTAGGGTCAAAATGCATGGAAGATTTATATTATTGTCAGAAAATTCACGCTAGGTTTTTATACTTGATCCAAAAGAAGGGTTAGACTATGATCCAGATGACATGATACAAAAAAAACTTACAAACAATCAACTGGTATCATAAAAGTATGAACCAATCAGGTGGGTTTTCACCAGAATTAAGGGGGATTGTGATTGGTCAAAGCCTTTCCGGTATCAAGTGGGTTTTCTGGAACGACATGATATCGAAAAAACTTACAACCAATCAACCAGTATCATAAAAATAGGAACCAATCAGGTGGATTTTCACCAGAATTAAAGAGGGATTGTGATTGATCAAAGCCTTTCTAATATCAAATGGGTTTTTTGAAATGACACAATACCAAGAAAACTTACAACCAATCAACCAGTATCATAAAGGTAGGAACTAATCAGATGGATTTTCACCAAAATTCAGGGGTTGTGATTGGTGAAAGCCTTTCTTGAAAAAAAAAAAAAAAAAAACTAAATCATCGTACTAGAGATATTCAAAACGCGGTTAATCGCACTAGAGATATTCTAGGTCCAAGGAGAAACCAACGTAACAAAATTTCAACAGAAGTTCAAAGTGTCAAATAAGAGTTTTTATCCTCTACGGTTCCCTGGCGATAGTGGGTCCAATCACGATACGGCACGTCATCCTACCTGTGAGGCCCGCATGTACGGATCCTACGTGGCATAACTTGAGTGCAACCCTCAAATAAGGAACGGAACGTTGGCACATTTATGCTGCCGTTCTAATTTGAATTCTTTTGTTTTTTCCTTTTTCAAGGATCCCAAAGAACAATGAATGAACTCTACAGCTTACCGTGTCAGCAGTTTCCAACAGAGTCCGAGCCTAATCTGGAAACCCAACTGTACAAATTCAATCTCTCTCTCTCAAGTTTGAACCAGTACTCCATTTGTCACATTCACGTAGGCTGCTTTACCAATGGTATGACAAACTCCTGTAATTCACGCAACAAAGCCTGCCGTTTTAATGGTTTCTGTCTTTTCTTCTAACCAATTTAATTTGGTTGCAGAGGTGGGTAGCTGAAACAGTGATTGTTTGAGCAATCAGAAAGGAATTTAGGAGGAGACAAAGAACTGTGTAATACAATACTCAGTGAGTCGTCCCATGCAGGTTCATTGAGGATAATAAACAGTAGAGGACAGGGATTTGTGGGCATTAGTTCTCTAAGAGAGAAGTGGAGAGATAAATCTGAGCTGCTGAGATTCTTCCAACAGGTTTGTTTGGTATTCTGAGTTCTCTAAGCTTCTTCTAGGATGGTTTGGTTCTGATAAATGATTGGACTAAACTAGTTTCTTCAACTGTAAAGGACTAAAGGAGGTATATATCAGATAAAAGATCAGATGTTTTTATTGCATTTTTTACTTAGACTGAGATGCTAACAAGGGACAATGTGGGTTCTTCTTTACTTTAATATCCTTGTTTGCAAATCATATCTTTGTATTCCTTCATCTTTTAGTCTAATGATTCTTCTTTTTCTCTATTTTTTTTAATGTTGAGCTCTTCTATTCTACAGTTCATTATTATTTTTCAAAGCTTGCATCTCTTTTATGATTCTTTTGCTTGAAAGAAATAATTTTAGTTTCTTAAATTTCTCCAAGTTCTTACGAGGGGTAATCAGGATTCTTTTGGAATCTGTTTGTGCCTTCTGGATTCAGGAAGAACCACTGTAAACAAGAACCGGAAGTTTGCCAACCCTGCTTGAAAACAGTTTAGGTGAAAGGTGGTGAGCGTCATGGGCGACATTAATCATCCTCCCAAGGAACAAATGCAGGATCTGGACTACTGCATCGATTCAAACCCTCCTTTGGGTGAGTGAGAGCTTCTAATATCTAATTTCCTTATCAATCTTATCTAAAGTTTCCATCTGACCCATCAACAAAAACTGTTTGACCTCCTTTGATGAGATGGGATATATGAACCAACTCAATCTAACAATTCTCTTGCAGACCAGACAATTCTCTTGGCATTTCAAAACTACATTGTGATACTTGGAACATCTGTGATGATACCTTCATTTCTGGTCCCACTGATGGGGGGCACAGATGGTGACAAAGCAAGGGTCATACAAACACTTCTGTTTGTAGCCGGCATTAAGACTCTTCTTCAGACACTGTTTGGTACCCGCTTGCCTGTCATTGTTGGTGGTTCATATTCTTTTGTGGTGCCTGTCCTCTCGATTATAGGTGATCCAAAGCTGCAAAGGATTCCAGACTCTAATGAAGTAAGACTGCATAAACAGACCACTTGCCCTTTCTTCATTGCTTCAGAAGTACATGTATTCTCATTTCCATCAGCATTCTCAATGTTGTCTTGCAGAGGTTTATACAGACAATGAGGGCAATTCAAGGAGCAATTATTATAGGTTCAAGCTTGCAGATTGTCTTGGGATATAGTCAGCTCTGGGGTATTTTTTCAAGGTAATGTCTGCAATCTTTTCTCTCTTAGAAATATTATTAGATAATGCCACTAAAAAACCTGTTAACTTTTCATTTGGAGCAGGTTTTTCAGTCCTCTAAGCATGTCAGTTGTAATGTGCCTAGTTGGCTTGGAACTACTGGAACATGGCTTTCCTAAGGTGATTCCACTGTCTGCTTCTTTCTTGCAAATATCAACTTACCCTTTTCTCAGTTGATATATACTCATACGAGATGGATGTTTTTGCAGGTTGGAGAATGTGTAGAAATAGGAGTTCCAATGCTTCTCACACTTGTTGGGCTTTACCTGGTATGTCCTTGCAAAACACTGCTTTAGCACAGCATTGCAGACTCCTTTGGTTGAGGATGGTGTGGTTGGTTGGTATGAAAATGAACAGATCTGAGTTATTCATGGGCCTGAGAATTAGTTAGGGCTGCAAAGGGATTGGATTGAATCAGATAACTCCAATTGGATCTTATCCTATCAAATTTGGATTGATCTCAGATCAGATTCCAATAGAGTACCATTAATTTCCTACCAAAAATTAGAATTGAAAATGACATTGATACTGTGTGGGACTTGAGAGCCTATGACTATCCAGTAAACATACAGCATCCAAACCAACTTTGCTAATAGATGCATATTGATTATTAGAGATAAATTAATTACTATCGAAACAGATCATAATGGATCATGGATCAGATTGCCTTTATTGGATGGGATTCAAATTTGGGATTCAAATTTAAATCTGGACAAATGGATACCATTTGCAGGCCTAGTGGGAAAATGGATACCATTTTCTGAATCAACCAAGGACTAAGAGTATTGCCAAATAATCTATTGGTGTTAATACCACAACTAAGAAAGTATCAACCATCCATACCTTCCCAACTCAGATGAATCAACACTCAGACACTCTTCAACACAAGTGCATTATATTTTGGTATGAGGCTTTGAGAGCTACATTGTGTTGATGATTCATACTGGCGCTTGTATGGTTTTGGCTGAAATGCAGTATCTCAAACACATCAAGACATGGAGGGAAATTCCACTGTTTGAACGCTTCAGCATTCTTATAAGCATAAGCTTAATATGGGCATACGCCTTTCTCTTGACCATAGTTGGAGCCTACAAACATGTATCACACGAAACTAAGCTTCACTGCCGCACAGACAGCTCCCATCTGTTGTCCTCTTCCCCATGGATCAAGATTCCTTACCCTCTCGAATGGGGCCCGCCAACGTTCAATGCCGGTCATGCATTTGCAATGATGGCAGCGGCCATCGTTTCTCAGATTGAGGTAATATGGCTCACATTGCCATGGACAAATTTTTGCCATTATTGCATATTTTCTCATTGTGTATACTTTCATTGCAGTCCACTGGTGCATATATTGCTGCATCACGCTTTGCTATGGCTACTCCCCCTCCTGCATATGTACTGAGCCGAGGCATTGGATGGCAGGTAGACAGACGGTAAATTCCATTAAGAAATATGAATTTATGGGCTTGATTAAATTTCCCATAAATTCCATTCTCAAGGCAGAACTAACAATCTTGACAGGGAATTGGAGTCTTGCTTGATGGCCTCTTTGGAACGGGAACTGGATCAACTGTATCAATGTAAGTAACCCATCTCTTCATCCCCCCCCCCCCGAGAATTTGTGTTCATATCTCAAGACTGACCAACTCTCAATATGGTTTCAGAGAGAATGTGGGACTGCTTGGGCTATCCCGGGTTGGAAGCCGCCGAGTAATACAAATATCAGCTGGCTTCATGATCTTTTTCTCAGTCTTAGGTGCATATTTGTGTGTTCTGTTGTCAGGAACTATCCTACCCCCTACCAAGTCGATAAATGTTTGCAAATGTCAACCTTTTTTCCTGCAGGAAAGTTTGGAGCTCTATTTGCATCCATACCCCTTCCCATATTTGCAGCAATCCACTGTGTTCTGTTCGGTCTAATGAGTAAGTAATTTGCAAATGCCAAGCACTGCACATGTATCCATGATTCATGCTTTGATTCACAAACTCCGACTCTTTTATATGCAGCGTCCCTTGGGCTATCGTTCCTCCAATTCACAAACATGAACAAAATGAGGAACCTGGTCATTACTGGGCTCTCACTTTTTCTTGGGTTATCCATCCCCTACTATTTTAACCAAACATGGACTACTTCTGAACATGGACTAGTGAACACCAGAGCCAGCTGGGTGAGTTAATACTACCTTATTTGTTTCCCAAGTGAACGAACATTGGTAAAAGTTGCTGACACTTGAGTCGAACCTTCTGTTTTTCAGTTCAATGCTTTCTTAAATACTATCTTCTCTTCGGCGCCAACAGTAGCCTTGCTGGTCGCTGTTTTGTTGGATAATACAGTGGACGTTGAGACCTCGAAGAAGGATAGAGGAATGCCTTGGTGGGAAAAGTTTAGAAACTTTAAAGGGGACGCAAGGAATGAAGAGTTCTATACACTGCCCTTCAATCTTAACAGGCTCTTTCCCCCAACGTGAACTTGGCAGATTGATTAGGCAGGGAATGCAGAATTTATTATGTAACAGAAGCTATTTTATTTGTTTGTTTATTAAAATCATCTATACCCCCCCCCCAGCACTAAACAAACTGGAAAAATGATTAAGAAAGCAGAATGGTAATTCTTGAAGTTGGAACTTAGTTTCATTGATGTCTAGTAGTATCATATAAAAGACAACATCAGTAATATCTGCTATTACTATACAAAAGAATAAGGCTGCAATCTGTCTACTGAAACATCTAATTGATTGAATTTCTAGTTGGAGGAAAGGTAGGGAGCAAAGATAAACGAGGCAAAAAAGTTAAGGAAAAAATTACTGTAAAAAATCACTTCAAGCAAGAAGAATCATGATTATAGTGGAGGATAGAAAAATGAAGATAACGAAAATCCAAGGAAAAGCAGGCCCCCAATTGTTGCAACGGTGCCCTGTGAAATTTTGGATGCTAACATGCTTCCTCCTACCACTGCAAGTGATGTGCAGATTGTGTGTCCGAATGTGGCCCCTACCGCAACTCCAATTGCATTCTTGTGGGTAGCCAGCTGCAGGATTAAAAGAAATGAGACGATCCTGTTCATGTTAGCTGAAATGTATATTTATTATGCACTTTGCCCAAGGCTCAGTTTGAGAAAAGTGCAAATTCAAGATTTAAAATTTTGCACTGAGCATATTTCTATTTGGCTATTTGCGCTCTTCCCAAACTGAGCCTAAATTGCAAAACGTTATCAATTTGATGCAAACTTGAATCAACAACTAACTGAACAAAAGCATGCCATCCAGAGAATAATCGTGCAAGGATAAACACACAAGACCGGAACAGAATGCGACAGTTTTTGAAATATAATACAATCCCAAAGGGAAGAATATGGGTTCTTATAATCAAATCCGTGGAATACCCACTACCCATAATGACCTAATTAAATTTATAATTTCCATGATGAGAACCATGAAAAAAACAAATATCAGCAACCAATTAACTTTACAGCAAAAGCAATGCGGTTGAAATGTTAAAGATCAGGGTTGCGACTTGCAACCTTATGCTTAATAAAAGAAAAAAAAAACTATTATCTCAAAGTAATTGGAAGCTGTATTTATTAAGGAGTTTTACTTCAAAAATATACCGTCTTAACCAAGGTTCAAAATTGCGATACGATATGCCCCGTATTGGGCATATCATATTGTATCGTCAGGGTCCCAATACGCCTATTTACAGGTGTTTCAGGAACCCCCTTCTTTTAATAAAAAATATGGTTTAAAACAAGCCTAAAAATCAAATTTAGAAAAAAAAGAAACACAAACACGTGTTATTTTAAGTACCGATATGCCTCTGCCGATACACGGGCGTATCGATACTTTGAACCTTGGTCTAAACTACAGATTCATGGGTTAATTAAGACTCCAAACACATGATAACCCAAAATAAATGCTTCTAACACAAAATAGAAGACATTTGATTGTCCTACACCCCAAAGTCTCCAATACAATCCAACAAATCTAGGAAAACACCGATGACTTACCGTGAGTTATGAATGTGAATACTGCAACCATTTGCTTCTTTAACATTCCAAGACTTTGAAACAACCCTCTTGAGCCTCCTCTCAGATCTGCAAAAGGTCTTCTCTCTGGTCATGCTTACCATCATCGATGGGTGATTGTGTGTGAATCTATTTATAGAGTTCATAACCGTCTAGATAGGGACCTTTCTTCTTGGTAAAGAATGCAAAACCAGAGGCTCCATCATCCTCTGTTTTTGCAAATCCAATGACTGAAAACAACTGCTCTTAACTATCTCTATGCATCCACTCTCCCAGGAAGATACTTAGGTCAGCTTGGGACTTATTTGCCACCTCAGCTAGTCCCAGTCACCTACTGGGTTCCACTGATTCTTCTCAAACCACACAATAAGCTCTAACAATCTCCCACTTCGCTGAGATGAATCTTTATCGCCATTTAATGACCCAATACAGTGAAAACTAAGGGTATCCATTCCGTTCAATTGAAACTACTATCCTCAAATCATCAAGATCACTTGAGTTCTATTAATTTGACTCATGACCATCGAGTGGTTATAAGGTTAATAACCTCACCCAACATGAATTACCTGCATAATATACTTAGACAATCTAAGCATGGCCCACATATTTCTGTCTTGCATTATGTGTATACATATTGAGAGAAGATAGAGATATAAACCAGAATCAAGAACCATCTTGTGATCACATATAAATAGTGTCAACAAGAACAATTACACAAAATTTATGCATGCAACATGCTCTAAGAAGAGCTTAGGTGGAACTGTGGAAGCACTTTCATCAATAGATCTGTTACCATGAGTGTAACACTAATATGTTCTGTCAATACAATCTAATCTTGAACCCTTTCCCTCACAACGAAGAACTTGATATCAATGTCATTTGACCATGTTTTCATCTTAATACACGACAGCAACATTGAAAGCTACTGGTATTGCTAAAAAATAAAAATAAAAAATCAGAAAATTCCAAAAAATGCCAAAAAAAAAGTAAATATAATATTAATAAGAAATATAAACTTAAATTTTAAAATTAATGGTTTAAAAAACCTATTACCTAAAATTAAAATACATAAACATAACATGTAAAGCATATTCAAATAAAAATTTAAAAATAAAATCAAACATATAAAATTTAAAAATAAAATCAAACATATAAAACATTTTCAAGCATATAAAGCCCACAATCTCTCTTTTACCTCAATTGCATTACTTCAAGTAGCTAGTGTGATGTAAAACATATTACATTCCTGATTCTACGAGTCACCTTTGTGCCAAGCCCCTCGAGGCAAGCACAAACAAGCTCCAAGAACCCCTATTTGCTAATGTTGTTCATTCATTTATCTTACTAAAATATCTTCTTAAAAGGCAATTAAAATTATAAAATCATTATTTTTTTGTGTGAGAATTAAGAATTTAAGGCTCTAACATTGTTTGGGCTTGCCTTGAGGGGCGTGGTCAGGGGTCCTAGGGTAGAGCCCCCGGCCCAGCTGCTAGGTTCAAAAAAAGCAAAAAAGCATAAAATTTTCAAAAGGTGCACACCTGGGCCATGGCACAAGGCACATTAGGCGCACGCCTAGGCACACCAGGTGTGCGCCTTTTGATAGTGTTGTGCCTAGGGCCTGGGCGAGGCATCTACCCTAAAATGCGCCTCACCTTTGCACCTAGGTGTGCCTTAGTCGTGCCTTTTAAATCACTGAACTCCATCATGAAAGAAGTTATTATTGTAATTTGCTTCATACTGGGTTGGGTCCATCCACCAAATATGAAGATATAACTGGAGGTAGCATGACCTGATATCCAACAAAAGTTGGAATTTGTATGACCAATCACTTCAAGTTCTTGTGAGAGAATGGATATGCATTTTAGGGTCTAAGAGTGTCAAACGGGATCAACATTAACAAATAAAGAAAATGCCTCATAGGCATCTCATAACATGACATAATTGACCTCACAAGCAAGATCTGCTAACAATGGATCTAATAGGATGAAAACCTTGCTAAAGCAATAACATGTGGCCTCGTAGGGCTCTACAAGGCTTTAGAGAAAAACCTTAAGGGACAAGGGCCTCACAAATATATTCAAAAAGCAATATCACCAAATAGAGCGAGGTTAGACCTTGTGGGGCCAAGTTAAAAGATCTCAACACTGGAGGTGCTCAGGGTGTCAGACGTGTGATTATTGATTTAGGGAAACCATGATCAGTTGTACTCAATGGCTGTACAAACACGTGTCACTTCCTAAGTGGCCCCAAGAACATGATATAACAACCTTGTAGACCCCTTTGGACGCACGTCCCTAGGGGAAAAAAGGCAAGATTTGCCTCTTATATGTTGATTAAAGCTAAGAATGTTCTGGGATAAAACACATTCTCATGCACGAAGCTTTCTTCCCCACTTTTGTAAATAAGGGAACCAACCTCTAGTGAAGACCTTCAACCCTCTTAACCTTTCAGCATTCTTCGTTCTCAGATTTCTCGCCTCTAGACTTAACCGTTTTCTTGATCCTCTTCAGGCTTTTAACTTTCATCGACTCATTTCCTAAACCCTAGCGGTACTCTTCTCCCTGCTTTCATGATCAACGGACCATCCTCATCCAATAGCTTACATTTCTATGCACTTATAAGTTATAAGTTAGCATATAGTCCTTAAACTCTTGCAAATAGCACATATCCTCCTCGGCTGCCTTCTAATGGTCTATACCAGAACTTTTCTAGTATATGCCAAGTAAACCAACAATATGTGCTATATTTAAATCGGAGCACACATTTGCATACATAAGGCTCCCCACTGAATAGGAAATGTTATTCTCCTTTTTATAGAAAAGGTAAAATATAATTGTATTAATAAAAGTATAAGCAAAAGGTTCTTTGTACAAAGAGTGTACAAGTATGTCATGAGAGCCTCAAGAAAGTCCACTTTCAAAAAAGAAATGTCCAAAGTATCATCTTTGAAGATTTGAGTTATAGGTAACAGTTCCTTAAGACACCAAAAGCATGATTGATGACCAGATTCAGATAAACAGCAGACCAACAAAAAGCCCATCTTCATTCTTCTAAATATAAAAGGTTTTTATTAAAAATAAAGAAAAATGAGATCCTCCTTCCTCTTCTTCCTCCTCCCTTTCCTCCTTCCCCCTCCTCCTCCTCTTAGGAGGTTTACACCTCTTACATTCTGAACTATGCCTCACACCTCTAGGTAGTGGCAGTGTTTTAAAAGCGCAAGGTGCAAGGTGAGGTGAAGCAAGGCACAAAAATACAAAAAAAAACCAAAAAAAAAAGTCAGGAAATTCAAAAATAAAAACAAAATAAAAAATTCAAAAATATTAAACATAATATTAATAAGAAATATAAAGTTAAATTTTAAAATTAGTGGTTTAAAAAACCTATTATCTAAAATTATAATACATAAACATAACATGTAAAGCAGATTCAAATGAAAATTTAAAAATAAAATCAAACATATAAAACATTTTCAAGCATGTAAAGCCCACGATCTCTTTTTTAGTTTTTTTACCTCAATTGCCTTACTTCAAGTAGCTAATGTGATGTAAAACATATTACATTCCAGATTCCACGAGTCAACTTTGTGCCACGCCCCTCGAGGCAAGCCCAAACAAGTCCATGTTAGGGTCTTAATGTTGTTCATTCATTCATCTTAATAAAATATCTACTTAAAAGGCAATTAAAATTATAAAATCATTATTTTTTGTGTGAGAATTAAGAATTTAAGACCCTAACATGGAATTGTTTGGGGTTGCCTTGATGGGCGTGATTGGGGGTCCAGGGGTGGAGCCCTCAGCCCAAAAGTGCGCCTTTTGAAAGTGTTGTGCCTACTGCCTAGTTCCTGGACAAGGCACCTACCCTAAAATGTGCCTTGCCTATGTGCCTGGGCACGCCTTTTATATCACTAGGTAGTGGAATGCCTCGCACGCCTCCACGTTTTAAAACATTGCTGCATTCTCCCTTATGTAGTTGCCAACTTGTTAAAAAATCTTGCAAAGAAACTATGATAAGTGTTGTAGCACCCATATCTACCCACCATGTATTTAGGTGGTACTAGGGAAGTAGTGCAAATAGATCGGATCGGATTCAAATCAGGGCATATCCGAATCCAATCCGACACTATTAAGGGGAGATCCGGTCCGATCTAAAGATTCGACTGGATTTCATAAACATGGATTTGAATTTGAATCCTATGAGACTATTGAATCTTCGGATCTGATCTGATCCAATATGATTTAAAAAATAAATAAATAAATTATTAAAATAAAATTAAAATGTAACAATTTATATAAAGAAACGCAAAAAATACAAGTATCTTTTCAACTATTTTTATCATATATATATACACTTTTTTGTAAAAAGTAAACAATATAATAAATTACAAAAATGCAATATAAATAATATATTTATAAATAAATAACATATATATGTGTTATATATATTTACATAAATAAATAACATATATATCCATTTGCACCCCTAGGTGGTACGCCAACCAAATAGGATTTAGAAATCATAAAAGAAAAAATCATTACCTTTACTGTCGAGCCACATTACATGTTTGGAGCATTAACGGAAAACCAATCTAAGCCCAAGCACAATGGTCAGGATGTCAATCCTTATTGGTTTAGACTTTAGAGGCAAGGGTTACAAGTTGGAAATAGTGTAACCTTAAATGGGCAGAGAGAAAATTGTAGGAAGAAAAGATATGGACCCATGATGATTGACAGAGATCCATCTGCTAGTTTAACTTTATCTCTACCAGAGAGCAAATTGTAGGAAGAAAAGAGAGAGGACTTACTAGTCATGTGTCTTGAGGCCCCTAAATCAAAGACCCTAGGGGTGTCTGAAGGAAGAAACAAGACATGGAAGACAGAAGCATGATTACTTGTACCTGGTGTAGAAGCAAATTAAGTGGACAGAACAATAGATACCCCTTCTAACTAGAGCAATGTTCTGCCACACTACCCGAGTTGTTCTCTCAATGAACTCAAGAATATCTTCCTTAAGAAACTGAACTTGTAAGACTACTCTTGAGGTGGTCCGATGGTAACACCTTTATTTCTAGGGCCCTGTGCTACTATATTGGCTAAGCTAAACTTCTTAGCAGGAGTTTTTTGCTGATATTTCTTACGTGGTCTACCATGCAGGTCCCAGCAAGTCTCTTTGGTTGTGCCTAGGTCTCTAGCAACGAGTGCACCAAGGTTTGGACTTCTCATCCCCTTCTGGCTTCTTATTCACATTAGGCTTCTTCATTCCACTACTACCACCTTTAGCTACTAGGGCTACTTTCTCCCCCTCCGGAGGATTAATAGCATTCCTCCTAGTTTCTTCAAACTGCACTAGTGCATATATGTCCTGAACTGAAGGAAGCTCCTTATTCCCAAGGATTTGAGCTCTTATAGATACACTAGATTTTTTTATGCTGGTTCATAGACTAGATTCAAACCTAACAAGAAGGCAAACACTCTGTTTTGAGACAAGTTTTTCTTATCAACCTTAGCATCATAGCATCACTATCATCCTTCCAATCAATGGTTTGACAATGATCTAATTCCTTCCAAGTCGAGGTAAAAGCAGAATAGTACACAAAGATAGGCTTGTCACCCAATTTACACGTAGTAGACTCTGCTAATAATTGATACACATGAGCATAATGCCATTGTTCAGTATAAGTAGCCTTGGCTTGCTCCCATATTTCCTTTGCAGTTTCAACCCACATAAAATTTATTCACTTGAAGTTGCATTGAGGTCAGAAGCCAAGACTACCATATTGTTCTCCTGATCCCACCAATCATGCTCTGCAATACCTTCCTTTGGTTCCTTGCCAGTGAGATAGTCAGCCTTACTCCTTCCAGTAATATGCAACTTGGTACTCCCGGACAATTCCAGATAATTAGTTCCATCAAAGATAACAATGGAAATTCATGCCGTCCATCCTGTTACCAGTGCTGAATGAAGAGGAAGTGACCCCTGATGTTGCTGAATCATCAGTAGCCATTTAGCAGAACTCTGATTACTATAAGAAAGAAGTCTCACCAGATTAGCCACAGAAAACTAAAGACAGCAGCGCTTTCTTTCCCAAAAACAAAACGCTCCTGGAGTGAAAAATGACTTCACACATAGGTTTTCCTATCAAATAACACCACAAAACTAATCTATTAAGAAATCTGACTACCCAGATTGCACTAACAGACCTGTACTCCACCTACACAAGCAGTTGGCACACACCCCTACTTCACACTGATCATATGATCCCAAAAAGAAGCATCGGAAGTTCTGGAAAAGCCTTAAACTTCCATCTACACCCACCAGCCACCACAAAGAATGATTCACTTGATCCCATGAAAGAAAAAGGGAAAAATCATTTCAGACCAATCTGGATTCTTGTAATATACATTCCAATCAAAAACAGAGAGGATCAATAATAGAAAATGGAAGAAAGTTGAAGCTGATCAATATTCCTGCTCTGATACCATATAATCCAATGGAAAAATAAGGAGAGAGGAAGAAAGCAACAGAAGAGTGAGTCCAAAGTTTGGAGCTCAAAAAGTTGGCCTGGCAGCACCCTTATTGGTATCTATATTAGGGTGGCATCTTAAACATAATAATAAAGTAAAAGGGCTATAAATAAAAAAAGAGTAGAAGGGCAATTTTGCCCCTGCAGATATCTAACTCTTATATTACAACAGTTTACACTAGTTCAACCGATGCTCTGGTAAAGTATCAGCAGTAAACTAAATTAGATTAACATTGATTAGAGCCACATCAAGAAGTGGGCAAACATGTACCAGAAATATTGATTAAATGTAGTTTAACCCGAAAGCTCTTCTTTGGCTAGACAATTTTGTGCTTCAAAGCTGAAGCAGTAAGATATATAATGATTATGTCATTGATAGATGCACAGAAAAAGAAAAAAAATACACAGGAAAATGTCATTGATAAATGAACAGAACAAGAAAAAATAAGAGGAACAAAGACCCAAGGCTTATCTAAAGAGTTGTCAAGTTGGTTTCAATGTTGATTGCCAAATCCCATTCAATTGGAGAAGTCAACATAAGAGAGCATGAAACTAGAAAAATATACAAGTAAAACTAGATAGAGAACAGAGAGATCAGCTTACTGCAATTGTTGCTATCTGACTGCGATCTCCCCATTCTGCTAGAAATGTTAAAATAAAAGACTGCACCCAAAAAGGAAAAAGAACACTTAGATGAGAAATTCGTTTAGACTATATACATCATTCAAGGCGCATTGGCCATGATATAGGAATTTACAAAGACAAGGGCCACTTTCCGAGTGTATCCTATCATGCTTTTTGGGTTTCCATGCATAGCATTGCACAGAAAGCCAAAAAGCCATATTTGCACCAAAAAAAAGAAAAAGTTGAGAACCATTAAAGGCAGAAAGATATGCCTTGAAGAGAAGTACTGAATTAATACCAATCAAGAGATTTGAATCAACCTTCTTTATGATTTATTATTCATTAATAACTTTTTGTAATAATAGTTTCATGATGATAAATTTCATCTGTCACAAGAGTCTAGTCAAAGTTTTGTTCTATGCTTAATATATATACCTCCAAAAAGATTGGTGTACAAAATCTTGAAAATAAACGGCGAAAAGGTGTTTTCCCTTGTCCTGCCTCAAGTTTCTCTTCTACCTGATGCATATGAAGATAACCAAATAAGACAGGAAATCAGCAGTCATAACAAATACTTAAACAGTAATAAGACGGACATTTTGTAATTATTTTCCAAACCAAAGCATGCTTGCAAGGATAAGAATATACCAGAAACAACCCTTGATGTTCATCATGACTTACAAGGTAGCTACTATTTAGTTCTATCTTTAATATTTATTAATAATCACAGGAGGTGAGAAATTTTAAGCAGTATAACAGGATGTCAGCATGAATCTCCAGTTAAACCCCACAAAAAATGGAGAGAATGTAACTACATGGACATGTGTCAAACACCTGTATCAACTATTATTTTTTCTGATTCAAGAACAATGTATGCTTCTTTAGAATAACATCAACAATCTCCAAAGATCAAAAATAGAATGAAGCTTAGTATTTAATCAAGAAAGAGGGAGTAGAAAAAAAAACTCAGAAAAAAAAATAGAATAACAAAGGATCAGGACACCTTTGCTTTCATTCAACCCGTTCTGCAAGAATGGAGTGCTTAGAAGGCTTTGTGGAGACAACAAGGTGGAGGAAATCTCTGAAGGTGGAGGCTAAAGATTTCTTGTTCAAGGAACTGCAGATTAAGGGACAACCAAGTCTGAAGATAAGGGAAATGAAGATGGCAACAGTACTGGTGGAAGGAAGCTTGAATGGGTGAGACATTTTGTGTCCAAGGCAGCAACTAAAGGGAAGCAAGTTGCAAGGAAGGGTACAAGTACATGAAAAGGTATGTGGTGGAGTGTAAAAGAAATGCTAAGGGGTCCTTCATTGCTCTCTCAAAGTTTTTTGCTAGAGGAAGAAAACAGATGGTGTGCTTCCCTGAAGGAACAAATAGCCAAGGACAGAAAGGGGTTGGTGCACATTTGAAGATTTTCCTAAATCAAAAGAACTTAAAAAAAGGAGAGACACTTGATTAGGAAGAAATACCAGTCAAGCCTGATCAGAAAGATGAGGGTCCTAAGCAAAGTTTTTTCTCTATAGCACACAGTAAAAGCAATCTACTCTGAGTCTCTGACTGTTACTCTATTCTGGTAAATGGGACAGTGGTGGATTTTTCCTCGGCATTGAGAGGAACAAGACAAGGAGACCCCCTTTCACCTTTCCTGTTTAACTTGATTTCGGAATTCCTGGGGAGTTTGATCTCTAGAACAGATTCTAGGAACCTAATAAGAGGATGGAGGGTAGGTAGGGAGGGCATACTCTCACTCACTTGCAATTTGCAGATGATATGATTCTGTTATGTGGAGGGGATCTGAATTGGATTAGGAATCTAAAACTTGCAATACAACGTTTTGAACAAATGTCAAATCTAAAAGTTAACTTTGAGAAAAGTTATATAGTTGAAATCAATATGAGGGAAAGAGATATACTTTGAGTATGCAGACATTCTGGAGTGTGCAGTGTCTAATTGGCCTCTGAATTATCTAGGTCTGCCCCTAGGGGATAATCCTCAGAAGGGAAGTTTCTGTATTCCAATTGTGGAGAGAGTTAAAAAAAGGCATGCCACTTGGAAGAAAAATTACTTATCTCTTGGAGGAAGAATCACCCTGATTAGGTTTACGCTTGCTAACTTGCCTGTTTATTTCTTGTCAGTTTTAAAGATTCCAACAAGAGTGGCTAACAAATTGCAAAATCTAACAAGAGACTTTTTGTGGGGACCAGGGGAGGAGAAAAAGGGCCATAGGGTTAGGTGGGAGATAGTGAGTAGAAGTAAGAAATTTGGTGGTCTTGGCATTGGGAATATTAGGAAGAGGAATTTGGATCTCTCAGGAAAGTGGTTATGGAGGTTCCCCCTAGAGAAAGAGAAGTTGTGAGCTAAGGTAGTAGCTAGTATTTATGGGCTTGCAGATAATGGATGGGATTCTGGGATTCTAGCTAGGACCACAATTGGAAAGCAATTCAAGATATCCTGCCTTTGTTTTCTCCCTGGATCAAGTATGATTTACACTCAGGTAATCTCATCAAGTTTTGGGAACAAGTTTGGGTTGGAGATCCCTCTTTGAAAGACTAATTCCCAACATTATTCGCTATCTCTAATTTTAAAAATGAAGCTATTTCCACTTTCCTTGTACCTTCTAACTCGACTTTAGGGTTTGGGTGGAACTTGGGTTTGAGAAGAACTATTACGGACACAAAATTGGACAATACTTTGTCTCTCCTAGGCATCCTTGATGAGATCTTTCTAGACCCTACAAAGATAGATAGTAGAATCTAGACCCTTTCCCCCTCTGGTTCCTTCACTTGTGCCTCCTCCTTTAAAGCCCTTACTCAACCACTTGGTCCACACAAGGGTAATACATTGGTTGAAATCATTGGACTTATTTGCAGACTTCTCAGTGGATAATTTGCTAAGAAACTAGAAGGAAATTGCAAAGTCAGTCAGATAAGATGACTAAGTCCCTTATGGAATCCTCCCTCTCAACACTTCTTCAATCTGAATTTCGATAGTAGCAGTTACTCCCTAAGGGCTGAGGTAATGGCCGGCCTTGGAAGGGGTAAAAAGAGCTAGGGACCTGAATATCAGTAAGCTGGTCATAAAAGGAGATTCTGAGATAGTAGTGGGCTGGTTAAAGGATGACAAGATCGAGCTCTGGAACTACATCAACGAGAAGAGAAATCTTAAGTGGCTGACAAAGGACACTGATGTGGAGAGACTTATCAGTGGACATCACATAGTTTTTGCCAACACAATGAGATACTTAATGGGCCTAAATATCCCCAGTTCATACATAATTACTCAAGGTGGAAGGGCTCAAAAGAATGAACCTATGGGTGGCAAGACATGGTGACATTGACAAACAAAGACAATCATGACATTATCATTAATACGTAGATGCATCTGAGCATATGCTAAATAATTGTGGAAGACATAATAAATCAGTATGGAATAATTTAGGCCTTTCTTCAATTTTATACCTAAATCTTTTTAATTTGTTATACCTAGCACATAATTTTTTTATTCAAAAAATATCAGAGCTTAACAGCTAGAACTACTTAACAGCAAGTTGTCAACCTCCTAATTTTAGCAATCAATAATAGCTAACAAAGAAGCATGATAATTTGTCCATCCAGAAATTGAAAAAAAAAATGGCATACTTCTTCCATTTCTTTCTTCTGTGATGATTTTGAATCTGATCTCCAAGCAATGTATAGAAGCCGGAGCCCAAAAAATGCATAAAGAACTGCACAAAAGTACAAGGAAAAAGTTAAATTCATAATAGCCAGGGTGAGCTAAGCACACCTATCTACCTCCTAAGACCCGATCACCCATTTAAACTGAAACCAAACTCTCTAGTAAAAAATGCAAGGAAATTTTTGAGAATAAGTACATAATAAATGTCTAAAATTTGACAAAATGGTGGCATGCACATTACTGGAACCTCTACTTTTGATCTTATGTTTGAAGTGCAAACACTCAAGACACTTCAATATTAATTAATTTAAGAGAATATTTCAACGGCCACAGTAAATAAGTCTCTAGGTGATGTCTGAAAGGGTAGTGTATCTCACATTTAAACCTCTTTAAAAGTCATTTTCAGGGTTTTATTTTGGCAGTATGTAATTTTAGGGATTCAACATTCAAATTTTTAAGCACTTTATGATGGTTATTGTTCAAATTCTTAGTACTTTGACACAAGCTTTGAGAACCTTTTAAATACGCAAACCATCATTCCAATTTCTCAAAAAGTACAAATTAAATATCTCCTTGCTGGGTCACTAAGTAAACTGAAGTCTTCTCTTAATGAAGAAAAATATTTTTCATGGTTGACATCATAATTTAGTGCCAGAACAATTTGTAGTGTAAGGTCCTTTCTGGTTTGCATACTTTCTTTCTTTTGCTTAATTAAGTATACATACATTATTACATCATATTAAAATTTATTTCTTAAGCACTCTCCAGATAGGAGCCACTGCTTGGTACAACAGAAAACACTCACGCTGACAGGAATGAGAACGCAGGTTTAAATCTGAGAAAGGACTGGTTTGTGCAAGCAAATACTGAAGGTTAGGTCAACATCTAGTCCACCTCGAATAGTTGGAACCAATATTGGGTAATGGTCCTTTTTTCTAAGTATACTTCTGATAAGCCCTACTTTAGATTGGCCACCTATGTTACCCAGTAATGGCAAGGGGATGGCATGGCTGGACAAGGTGTTGGACACAAAATTTACACTAAAAATTGAAGTATATAGTACCCTTGTACAGGTGTCCCAGCATCATAGTTGGCCACTGCCAATAAGTTTTAACAAACCCAAAGAGAATGCAAATTTAAAATGGCTAAACATTGTCTTCACCTGAAAATTTCCAGAGCATATCAAAAGCATGCTATAGTGTTTAAAATGAACCAAAATTAGAAACGAAGAAAACTTTCACAGCATAGGGATGCAATAAGCAACATACCTGTAGCTGCATTGTTCGTATGCTTCCTAGATATCAAATTTGGCACAATCCTACCAAGTCCAGTGGAGAGAACCTATCCCAGTTCAATATTAAGTTTAGTTGCACTGAAATGAACAGAAAATGTACTCTATAACATGTGGCTAAACTCTAGAACCATGTCATAAGTAGAGCATACCACAATGCCCACCCAAGGAAACAAGACAATACATATGAAAGAAGAAACTAAAAAAAAAAAAAAAAGAAAACTCTTTTATGAGTAATTAAAAATCAGTATGGCTTCAAGGTCAAATAAATAAACAGGCAAACTTACCGTCATCACAATCAAGGCAGTAAGGGCTCCAGAGAGAACAATTGATTTTGGGTGGCGCATTGCCATAAGTGCTGCTATTATGAATGTTTCATCTCCAATCTAGCAGAATGAGTATTAAAGCATTTATTAGATATAACATAAGTGTAAATATCAAATTACGCTGCAAAATTAGGATTGATGCCAGTTCACTTCACAACTACAACTGATGGTCCAATGAATACTAAAAAAAAGCTGATCCCATAGCCTAAAGTTCACCAACTACCTAATACTAACTCCAAAATAAATAGATTTTTTTTAAAAGGGGAGGTGTGTGGTCCACTGGAAAATTTAAATCATTGAGCAATACATTCTTAGGTACCACATAGCAACGAGCCAACGACTAATAGTTAACAAAGATTTAAGGAAAAAGCCACCGGTGCTCTACCACTAGCAAATCGCAATACTCAACAAGACAAATAATGACATCGGAAAGGTTTAGTTAACTAGGAGTCAACTTCACTAACCTCACTAACAATGATCATTGAAAAACTAGCAAAGAACGCATCAAAAATCCCAAGACCAGACGGTTCCGAAATTCCACCAATGTTTAGTAAGTTAGCATCATTTTTATCACCTGCATCATTGTTCTCAAGGGTGTGCAGAACAATCTGGTTCACGAATGAAAAGATATACAATTAGTGGAACCAGAACATCAAATTAAAAGTAAATAACCAGATAAAAAGATCATTTTCACATACATATGTAAGGGTTCTAAATCTAACTAAAAACACACAAAAAAAATGTCAACTGACCTTGCTACGCCTACCTAGGTCCCTCAACGATTCGTTAGACAGGTCTTTGCCAGATCCAAGCTCAGATTCCTAAAATCCAGATAATACATATAAAGCAATATTATAACTCCAATTTACAATTAGAATCTTTTCAAGTGCCAGATCCAGCAAATACCAATATCAAGCAAATTAAAGAGGGGGTGAAAAGAGTTACTAAATATTTAAGAAAAATACGAACCTGAGCAAAGGCCGGCAAGACGGGCAACAATACAGTGGCAACAAGAACAAGGAGAAAAATCCAAGAGTGAGATCTTGAAGCCATGACTCCAATCCCAAACCCTGTCCTGCATATTCAAACACGACAGAATCAACAAACAACACAAATCTAAATACCCAAAAGAAAAAACAGGAAAAAAAATCCACAGGGATGGATCCGAACCCTTAAACGACGTGAAATCTCCGAAAGAAAGAATAGATCTGGTTCGGAATCGAAGATTGGAGAGGGAATTTGCGAAGAAGGGCTCGAATTTCTTACAGATAAGATGAAATCTCTAAGAGATCAATCAAACAACAGTTTTGCAACCTGCAAAGTGGAGAAACCGGGAGAGCAGGAGAGAGACCCTGCACTCATCGTGGGTTCTTCCTTCGTTTGTCCCCGTTGGAGCAGGATCTCCGAAATGAACTCCGGAACCCGTTCACCCTTGTATTGGGGCCAAGGACTTGCATGCATACCGAACAAAAACCGCACTCAGAACCATTTGCTCCCTCGTTTGCTAGACTGGCCGTGCAGAAAAACCAGTTTATGTGGTATATGGTGAGTTCACATCTGCGCCCCACAGAACATCCCCACCTTCTATTGCGAATTATCTCCCGCTGATGTCTCATCATTTCCCGTACTTGTTATCGGGAGATATTCTCAATATAAAGTGGAGATATGCTGTGAGACATTGTGGGGCGCCCATTGTGAGGCGCACATGTGAGGACTTATATGGCGGCTTGGCTTCACTGTCTTTATTTAAATGTTTGAAGCGAGGCGAAAAGGGCTTTCCAACGCGGATTCGCAAGTTTTCCAGTGGGCCAGTAGGGCAGCACGACGCAGCATCTCGGCCGACCTCGTGTCACCTCACCGTCATGTGTACTTTTATTTACGAAAATTGCCACCACCAAACTTATTCAGATTTGCGCCCCACAAATCGCGCCCCATAAAAATCGGGATCATCTCTTATTGACAAGTACGACGAGAGATATTCTCAATTTACGCTGAGATATAAACGTGGGGCACGTGTAGGGCGCCCTCCAATTTTCGTGGGGCACGCTGAGATATTCTCTATAGGACTCCAAACTTCAAACCCAAGTTGACGCAAAGGTTTTCACATACCACACCATTGCAAATTTAGAACGAATAGAACTCTCAGGTCATCAATGATCAAAATATCAGTGGTATTGGCCTATTGGGTATGTGTCGGACAACGGGACAACTCGGATATCTATATTTCATATTATAATACATTATACATTATATTATATATCTATTATATCTATATATATTAAAATAAGAAAGTCGAGAATTTTTTTTTTTGAACTTTTTTTTTAAGGAAAATTGTCTAAAACTCAACAAGAGTTTTTAATATTTCTCTTAAACTCCTACAACTTTTCAAAATGTCTAAAACTCACCATATTAGTAAGTTTTTATTTTCCAAAGATCACCTTCCGTTAGTGCACCGTTAATGCTTCTTAACAGAATATCAGCATAAATAACAACTTTCATGACCAAATTACCCTTGAATGGTGGGTTAGAGTAAAAATGGTATTTTTTAGTTTTCAATTTTCTTTTTTTTTTGCATTTTTAATGTTTTGTTATAATTTCCAATATTTTTTATAATTTCTGTTTTTTTACATTTTTCAATTTTCTAAAATCTATAAATTTTTGGTGTTTTTTCTACAATCTTTATTTTTTGATTTTGTTTTTCAATTTCTGTAGTTTCTATAATTTGAAAATATTTTTTTATTTTGTTTGCAATTTTTATATTTTTTGTAATTTCTATGTTTTTATGTATTTTATATTTGAAAATATTTTTTTTGAACTTTTCCTTTTTTCATGTCTAAATATTAAAATGGTAATATATTAACACCGTTAATTTATTTTGTATATATTTTATATTTTTCTATGAAGGTTAAAATAGTAATATATTAATGTCCATTAGTCTATTTACCTTTTTTTAATTCTATGTTATTTTTAAAAGGGTTTCTAGCATATAAAGGCAATTTTTTAGGTTTAATATCAATAAAAGTAATATATTTAAAATTTTTTTAAAAATAGGTTAACTTTTTAAAAATAATATCAATAAAGGACAAAAACATTGTTCATCTTCTTCTTCTTGCCATTTGTTCACTAGAGTCGCCATCCGCCACTGCCTCCGCCTCTAGCAATGTTGTCGGAGGTGGCCGGAGGTAGAGGTGGCAGCGGTGGCGCTGGTGGTCATTCCTCTGCATTTCGTTGCCACCACCTCTGTCTCCACTCATCTCTAGCAATGTTGTCGGAGGTGGAGGTGGGCGGAGGTGGCAGCGTTGGACAGAGAAACCACCAGTGCTACCACCGCCACCTCTACCTCCGGCCACCTTCGGCAACGTTGCCGGAGGCAAAGGCGGTGGCGGCTCTGGTGAACAAATGGCAAGAAGAAAAAGATGAATAGTGTTTTTGCCCTTTATTGATATTATTTTTAAAAGTTAATCTTTTTTTGAAAATTTTCTAAATATATTACTCTTATTGATATTAAACCCCAAAAGTTGCCCTTATCTACTATTACCCCTTTTTGAAACAACCAATGAGATGTACTTTCTCGATAAGGAAAATTCCTGATAGGTACCCTATACTTTGGGCTGAGTGCCAATTTAGTACCCAAACTTTAAAATGCGACAATCTAGTACCTGAACTTTCAAAATGCAACAATTTAGTACTTATCGTTAACCAACCGTTAAGTGACATGGGAAAAGGCACAAATACCCTTCAAGTGTCATCAAATTTTCTTTACCAACCATCAGCAACAATTGTGGTTTGACAAAGAGACCATCAAATTTTCTTTAACTCGCTACACTAGAAGACCATCTCTTAGGTTTTGAAGAATGCCTAGCTGTCTCGCGCGTTGCGGCGAACGGAGGAATGAACGAGTCTGGAAAGAAAACTGGGATCTTATCAGATTATGAGGAATCATTAGACTAACATTTGGAAGTGGCTTGAGTGATTTTGCCTCTATAAAGCAGTCCAAAAGCGTTAGCATCCCATCCCGAGTTGTAGCCAAACCTCCCCAAGGGTGAACTGAAGGATCTTGGAAGTCATCATGGCAGCTCAAAGGCGAAATATTCAATCCACCATCATTCTGAATTTTCAAAGTTCCTGCTTTGCTGTTGGGAAGGTGCCCATCTGCACCTTCCTACTACAAAGACTTTCCAACAGCAAAAGTTTCCAAATATTGTAGCAGCTTCAGCTTGGGCATTATGTCAAAAAATGAGTTAAAAGGGAGTAATGCATAATCATTGGATTTGATCTACCAGAAGTGCACCTGTATTTCAGAAAAGCCATAGTAGCACAATAACCTGAATAAGAGCTCCACCAATAACTATCATAGTAATTGATGAGAGACCTGAGGTAAACTTCTCAGTAACCAATGAACACTGAAACAAGCAATCCATTAACAACTTTAGACTACTGATGTGGGGTGACCCAACCCAGCCCATTCGAGGCTGGGAGACCCAGCCCACAAGCTCCAGAACAAGGAACGAGATCCACTACAACAGGGGTTACCCTACCACCATCATACAGAGCCAACCGCGATGTGCTGACATGACCCTACCAAACCCGCTACAGAGCCCCGTATGGCTCCCATCTCAGGCGTTCATCTCCACCTACCTCCAGGCAGTTCAAGTATAAATAGGGGTACCCCCCTTAAGTAAAGGGGTTACAAACTCAGGACCTACAGCCATTGTCATAATTGCTATTGCAATAACTGCTATTATGTCTTTAGTCTAGAACTAGCTACTAGGATAATGTCCTGGTATTCTCCCTTCGTACCCTATACTAACTTGACTGTCGAAGGCTCTACCTTGAGTTCTCACCTAGGGCCTCCAACAAGTTCCTGCCTTGCAGCACTTCAGCCATCAACCCTCAGCTTCTACCGCACTTGGAGTCCACCCCGCCTCGGCCTCCGCACCTCGACCTCAATAGTGACCTCTCTGAGTCCTCAAAGCCTTCAGCCAACCTTCAGAGTCCAGGGGCGAAATTACTTCATTGTCCTCGACCATTTCGAGCACCAATAATTGGCGACGTCTGTGGGAACGACACTGATACGTTCCCCAAAAGAACTATAGCAATTTAACAAGTCCCCAAGCTTCGACCAATCAACATGGTACGAAGAACGAGAAATATGCAAAATCTTGTCACCAATGAACAATTCCAGCCCGTGCTTGACCGCCTGGAATATTTAACATATCGAGTCGAGCAGAACTTCCCCCAGGCAGGAGGTTGCCCCCAAGGTGACTACCCCGCCAGGGAGTCAACACAGTCGGGCCGACATGGGTTCACCACCCAGTTGGCCCCTAGCCTCGGCCACACGCAACGGGCCGAGTCCTCGAGTCTGGCAGCAGTTGCCTAGCCAACCCACGCTCCAGCACCTTCAGACCTCCCAGCCAAAGGGAGAACAATTCCAGATCCTCAGCCAAAGGGAGGGGAACTTTAAACCACCCATCAAAAGGGAGGAAGAAACAGAACAGTCGAATGACAGCCACCAACCCTCTAAGCAACACCACCGATGCCGGAGGACCGACCCGAGGGACGAAGGCGGGCACTGTGGTCGCCCTAGCGCCCACTCCAGGGCTGAGGGCCGGCGTCGAGCCTCTTCCCCTCACGTCTCGGACCTCCAGGACGCCTTGAATGACCGTCGCGCTAGGCGCGAAGCACGCGACCTCAACTCCGAGTACTCTGGCATCTGCGTTGAGCATCATCGCGTCCGCGAAGACCGTGATGGCGCCTAGGCCAAGCCTGACTCCATGTTCATCAAGCTTCGAGTCGAGCTCAGTGATGTCAAAGCCGAGCTCAAATAGGCCAAGGAGGGCCAAACTGACACCTCGGTCGGACAAAGCTCCTGCCAAGGGAGAATGGATGCCATCTCCCCTGATATCATCGCCGAGCCTTTGCCCCCAAACTTCAAAGCTCCTGCCTTGGAGATGTACGATGGGAACACTGACTCGGACGACCACCTGGAAAGCTTTAGGGCACTTATGATCCTATATGGGTATCCGATGCCTTGACGTGCCAGACTTTCCAGGCAACATTCAATGGAGCCGGCCTCGGCTTACAATTAGTATACGCCACTCCAAAAGTACTGGAAGTTTTGATGCAGATCGGGTAGGAGAAATTTATGAAGTGGCCTGAAAAGTTGAAGAAGAACCCCCGTCGGGGGAATCCCAAAAAGTATTGCAAGTTTTACCGAGGTATGGGCCACGACACTGAGGACTGCTACGATCTCAAAAATGAGAGAGTCCCTCATTCGTCAGGGCCACCTCAAGTAGTACATCGGAGGCGAGGTTGGCGCCTCGTCCTCTCTGCAACAGTGACAACACCACTAGCAAGCAACAGGTGTCATTGACGTCATAGTGGGAGGCACTGCCTCGAGTGGGGCCTCGGCTTTGGCTCGTAAAGCCTACGCCAGACAGTTGAACATCCAGGGGCCGGCCCCCAAGACGAAACAAGAACCCCTCTCCTTTACAGA